AAGTCAAAGGTCAAGAGAACAACAGGAGCTTGTAGAAAATTAGGAACTATTCCATAAAGCTGAATTAATTAATAGTAATAAAAACACGTGTTTTAATGATATTAAGTCAAAGGTCAAGAGAACAACAGGAGCTTGTAGAAAATTAGGAACTATTCCATAAAGCTGGATTAATTAATAGTGATAAAAACACGTGTTTTAATGATATTAGGTCAAAGGTCAAGAGAACAACAAGAGCTTATAGAAAATTAGGAACTATTCCATAAAGCTGGATTAATTAATAGTGATAAAAACACGTGTTTTAATGATATTAGGTCAAAGGTCAAGACAACAAGAGCTTATAGAAAATTAGGAACTATTCCATAAAGCTGGATTAATTAATAGTGATAAAAACACGTGTTTTAATGATATTAGGTCAAAGGTCAAGAGAACACTAGAGTCTGAAGAAGTTATGATGTTATCAGAATAGACGAAGCACGTATCCAGGGTCTAGTCGCGTGGGTATCTTCCATTGGAGACTTCCGCTCCCCCCCCCCCCCCTCCAACAGTCCCCATCTGAGATAAAGTATTTTAATATTTTTAAATTCTTTAGGTTTTGACTTCCACTGAAATAATATTGTTATTATTTTTTTCTGGCCCCAAACTAACTTTTTGCCCCTTATGCTCACTACACATAAATAAAAACCCTAGAAACACCAATGCACGTATTTTACTTAACACGCCAAGAACGAAAAAAAAAAGGAGGGTGGGGTGAAGGAGTAGCCCTATTTATTGAACTACTGGTGAAAATTCCACACGACTGTTTGAACTATCAGAGTTTCAAGCTAGAAACCTATAACTGATCTCGCGTAGGAAAATATGTACGTGTTAATACTAGTCTCCCAGTGGAACAGAGGTATGTCTGCAGACTTACAACGTGGTGGGCAGAGCACAGACAGCCCATTGTGTAGCTTTGTGCTTAATTATAAACAAACAAGCAATGTTAATACTCTGTAGAGAATAAGGCTTAACTGAAGAATCTTTAGTTATGGGACAAATTTAAAATTTCATTGTAGCGTACAGTACCATGCCAAAACGTGTTTGATATCTACATCTGTGTTTAGAACACCTTCATGTCTCTATAAACAGTTTTATTAAAAGTAATTACACTGTAAGTAGTCTACAAGTATACACACAGCAAGCCAGTTTCAGGGCTACAGAAAAAATAAAGCGACCTTTCAGTAGTTTTTATATTTGATTTTAGAGCAAAGCCACTTTGTTCGGCACAGGGAACCAAACCCCAGATTTTGAGGTTGTAATTCCGTAGATTTATTGCTATCCTACTGGGAGACCCTTTCAATAGTGGGGAAAAGCTGTTTTATTGTTTGTTAAGGCTCGTGCAAAGCCACTCGAGGGTTATCTGCATTAGCCGTCCCTAATTTTGAAGGTATAGACTAAAGGGAAGGCAGATAGTCAAAAGCACATACCGCAAACTCTCGAGGTATTCTTTTTGCCTGAACAGTGAGATCTGATCGTCTCTCTTATAACACATCCATAGCCCCAAAATGAGGAGCTCGTCTTTTTTTTTTTCTGCAACGGACCAAAAACCACAAATCCCCGGATTCATGTTCAGAGCATACGAACCACTAAGACACGCCTGGTCCTCATATAAAAGGGGATGAGGAGCGATTAACCATGTGACTTCGTATTTTTGAAACATTGGCTTCCCTTGACTTCAAAAATGTTGTGCAGGAAATGTATTATTTATCGTTTTCGACTTAGTTCTGTCTCACTAAAGTAGTAAGTACCAAGTCTAATAAAAAGGTCTACAGGATCTCACAATGTGTGGAAGCATTACCCGAGTCCCTTACGTTAATTTTTAGGATGGCACAAATGGTTGCGTAGATGATCAAATATAACTCTTTACTCTTTGCTTCTCCGTCACACCAAACATGCTCGCCCTTTCAGCCGTGGGGGCGTTATAATGTGACGGTCACTCCCACTATTCGTTGGTAAAAGAGTAGCCTAAGAGCTGGCGGTGGGTGGTGATGACTAGCTGCCTTCCCTCTAGTCTTACTCTCCTAAATTAGCACAGATAGCCCTCGTGTAGCTTTGCGCGAAATTAAAAACACAAACAAACAAATAATACTCGTTGCTTTCTTCTTTCCAAATGATATTCATTGAGGGTTGAAAGTTTAATTTTGTTCAATTCTTTCAGATTTTGCCATAACGTGCATCTTTTGTTCTCAAAGTACCTAACATAGTGAGATTTCTTTTGTTTAAAACTTCTTAGGACCCCCAGTGGTTCAGCGGTAAGTCTAACGGTGCTAAAAATCGAGTTTCGATACCTGTGGCAAGTATAGTGCATTCGCAGATTTGGGCTTAATATCAATCAAACAAACACTTCTAACGTTTAATGTGTAAAAATACTAATTAAATTTAAGATCATCTCTCTGCATTTGACTAACGATCAACATTAACCACGTGTGCGCAAGATTAAAAAAACGAAACCAAAACCCACACCTCTAACTTTAATTTTTATAAATTCACATGTAAGAAGGAAAAAAATCATTATATCCTAATAAAAACATGAAATATCTACAAATTGTAATGGTATTATACAAATCTTATATATTATTATGAAATAGCAAGTGTAAAGTAGGCTTAACGATAACCATCTCTGTAAACACCATCTTGAGTTAGTGGATCATCTTACAAAAATGGTTTTGTGAGAAACTACTCCTGCTTAGGCCTTAATCCTAACTCTTCTAGTCCTTTGTACAATTTCGTTTTTTTTCTACTTTAGGCTGCTTTCAAACGGCATGTGCAACAGTACGATCACAGCAAGCGCTTTGCAAGCAGCAGATCCCCATAAGGTAGATCCTCACCACACTGTCCGGGTGATTTTTCCTGATCAATCTACAGATGCCATAATTTACGTCACGGTAAGTTCGTAACAACTGGCCTTCGTAACAGTTTTCAGTTAGATATATAAGGAATTTATTTTCTACTAAATATTTTCCTGTAGCCGAAGATAATATAAGAACTTCGAACTGTCAGAGGGGAACATGTCCCCCCATTAAAAACAATTAAGTCTTTAATTAGGTGTTTGACTGTAACGTTAGAGGATTAAACAACACCAAATGTTCTGCCCATTTTTTGCAAGAGATATAATTAATGAAGATATTTTGATTTTAAACGTTATTTTTACTCATTAGTGCGAGGCTCCCTAGAAAACATTGGCCACAAGATGTCGCCTGCCTTGTTGAAACCAAAGGATGACATATTAAATTCTCCGTGAAAAAAAACAACAACAAAAAAACATAGAAAGATGGAGGATTATAATTTCTTTAAGAACAATTTTTTCTAACTATTAAATAGCAATGAAACAGAAACATACAAATGATATTATAATATTTAGTAAGTTTTTTCTTACCTTTTCTCTAGCCAAGAAGTGTTGATATTCGTTGATTAATACCGATATTTTTCTGTAAAATTTTTGTGTCCATTTTTAGCTACTGAATTCGGTTAAGGTTTTAAAAAGAAATGTTTGACTTTTGCCAAACTCAGGTTTTTAGCGAAATAACTTTATCTTATATATATATTTATAACTAATATCTGCTATTTGAAACTGGAGTTGAAGTGTTTTTTCTCTCTCTTTCCTTCGGTTTAATTGAAAAAAAATTTGATCTGTCACGACTCCTAACATTCTAAACGTTTATGAACTCAATGTTCGTGAAATTTATTATTTCAGTGAGACTTGTATCTAGTTCATGTACAGTTGTTCATTGGAGGAAACAGTTAGGATTTGTACGAATCTGTTGCTGGCATCACTTCAGTATTATTGATCGTTTCAGAAACAGATGTTGCTTAGTTGTAGGGTAAAACCAATCTATGAATATATATCACTAATAAAACTATCAGTCTGAAAAATTTCTCAAATTATGTATTTATTTAGATTAGGCCGATGTAGTTTACCGTATTGTTCGGTGTATAAGACGCACTTTTTTTACCCCAAAATTTGATGTCAAAATCTGCTTGCGTCCTATACACCGAAGGTATGAATAATATATATGTATATATACGATATACACAGGCCATGTGTAAATATATTTAAATAGGCATGCATAGTTTAGTTCAAATGAATGTTTTATTTATAACAATAGTAGTTTTTTTTTCTTTTAAAATCATAACTATTTATAATGCTCCCTAAACAATAAAAAAATAAATTACAGTGAAAGCAATGAAGATTTTGTAGGTTTTGAATCAAACTAAATAACACTAAACCTTTTTTTGATTTACGGTATTTTCTAATTTTGATGTTTTGAGTTATTTTGTGTTTAGAACAATATATACTAATTTTTAAAGTATCAAATTGAATTTTTGTTCAATAAAAATCTTCAAAATGCGACTGTAGCTTTTTTCGCCCCAAAAACTTTGTCTTTAAAATAAGGGTGCGTCTTATATTCCGAAAAATACGGTAATTGTTTAGAGTCCACACATAAATGAAATCTCACCAGGAGAGGGCGCCACTTCAAACACAGAAAACAAAACCTTAATCAGCCATTAATAAAAGGAATAAAGCATCATCTTTGGTGTCCATTTTACTGATAAACTGACAATTCAGGTGTTTTTTAGATTAAGAATAAAGTTTAATTGCAAAACTACTTAAAATGTAACAATAAATACTACATAAGAAAGTACACGAGACACTTGAAAATCATACTAATGTAACGACACCAATCAAATTCAGTTTAATAGAAAGCGCTTGAGGTAATATTTTGTGAAGTCATTTAGAGTTGTTAATTATTTGATACACGTGTTTGTAGGTAGTCATCGTTTTCTACGCCGCCATAATCTTCATTCTGGTCGGCACCAATCTACACCGCTTTCGGAATAATGACAGCAGTCAGAGTAGCAGTCTGTCTGACGACGAGGAAGAAAGTTACGAGCTAGAAGAAAAGCGCCATCTAGTGGTACATATCGATAAAAAGGCTCGGGTTTATCAAACGATCACTCCGGAGAGCGAAAAAGTCGATGTGTTAGCAGTGTGATCTTGTGTCTCTTCTGTTGGGAACCTGCTACAATACAAGGGCATCTGTTATTACCTAAATAAAAATTATATTACGAGGGTTAAAATATAAATTTTCACTCACTTAGGATATTTTTTGATATCAACATCGAGCCTCTGATTTGTGGTAGTAAAACAAAATGGAAAGAGATGACAGGTTGTTATGGTAATGCGATCACTTTACCTAGGGATAAATATTTTATAACACAAAGGCGATTAGCGGACAGTTGTATGTTTCATCAAGGTAAAATAAATAAATAACCTTTTCTTCAAATATGTCGTTTAAGTGAGTTTATGAACTGAGTGATGACTGTACGTGTATTTGTACTTGATTTTCTGGGGTTTCAGTTCTGTGGTTTCAGTGTTGTTTTTTTTTAAATAATAGAACAGGAAGAGCTCGCACGATGACTCGGGTTCGAAACCTAACTACTCGTTTACCTAACTCCTTTTCACGTTTTGATACTGGGAAACGTAGTTCAGTATGAGACAAATATATTCTTGACAGTTTTAAGAAGTCATAAAAATTGTAAGGAAAACTGTTGAGGTATGTTTGGCTTAGCAATTGTTGACATGAGGTTTAGGTTCTTATTCTTCTTTATTGCATTCTTCATTCGTCTCTTTTTGTGACTTGTCCCCCGGGGGGACAGCGGTAGATTTACGGATTTACAATGCTAAAATCTGGGGTTCTATTCTCTGCGGTGGACACAGCAGATAGCCCAATGTGGCTTTGCTCTAAAAAAAACAAACAAACTTTTGGGATTTAAGACGTATCGGGTTCCATGTTAAGACTTGAAAAGCCTTTAGAAAGGTTTTATTTGTTTGTTGTTAAGCGTAAAGCTACACAATAGGCTATCTGTACCGTGCACACCACGGGTATCGAAATCCAGTTTTTACCGTTATAGTCCTTCAGAATTACAAATGAACCACTAGGGGCGCCTCAAAACCAAGAAGAGATAAGAGAACTTTCTAGAAATTTCTACCAACGTATCAAATACACTCACTAAATCGGCGGTAAAAAAAAAGGAGGTTATGAATCTAGCTCTCACCCTCATTATTATATAATTGGGGCCGATGGGACTTAATGGTTAACGTTCCGGACTGTATATCTACTCAGAGCCTAGTTGTCCATAATTTTGAACTTATAGACTAGAGAGAATGCAGATAATTAACAGCACGGAACGCCAACTCTTGGGCTACTCTTATCTGATCGGCCCGGCATTGCCAGGTGGTTCGGGCGCTCGACTCGCAATCTGAGGATCGCGGGTTCGAATCCCCGTCACACCAAATATGCTTGCCCTTTCAGCCGTGGGGGCGTTATATAGTGACGGTCAATCCCACTATTCGTTGGTAAAAAGAGTAGCCCAAGAGTTGTCGGTGGGTGGTAATGACTAGCTGCCTTCCCTCTAGTCTTACACTGCTAAATTAGGGACGGATAGCGCAGATATCCCTCGTGTAGCCTTGCGCGTAATTCAAAAAGAAAAAAAGAAACTTATCTGATCAAGCTGTGGGACTTATAACGCACCCACGGCCCCAAAATGCTGAGCGTTTTTTATATATTTTTTTTCCTTATGCAGTAAGAGGACGCGAACAATGGACTTACAGGACCGCAGTCCGGAAAGCTAACCATTTACCCGCACTTGATCCTATTTCGTAAATAAAAGAAGTTCGTGTAATGTATAAACTTAGCCGGTGTACTGGATTTAGATACATTTTGAATTACAGAATTGTGTTTTTTTTAATATTGTATTTTTATGTTCTTAATATATATTTGACTTTTACAAAATTTTCCGTAACAACGAAAAATACAAATATATGTTGTTTTTTTTTTAAATCTTTGGACTGTCCTCAAAGGTTCAACATATGTTGATCTGTACTTTTCATTAAACATTTTTGTGGTTTCAAAATTTTACGATGAAAAACATGAATAAATATGCGAAAAACATTAAGCATTAAACATTTTATTTTTATAAGTTTCGAACCCGAGATAGGTATAATAAACAAATAAAGCTTGGTCGCAAAACTGAAGAATGGGCTATCTGTGCTGTGCTCACCACAGGGATCGAATCCAGATGTTTTAACGTTACAATCCCAGCAATGTACTTCAGGGCCACCAAGGAGCGTGTGTGCTCCAAACATACAAAATAAAAGGTTTTTGTTTTTACCGTTCGCATAATTATTATTATTATTATTATTTTTAATATCTCATAACCTGAAAGTATATTTCTTAAATACTGTTAAGCCTGCCTTGTTCTTCTGATACTCAATTTGCTGTGGGTTTTCAGTCGCGAACCTGATTTCAAATTTACCATTACGTTTTTTATAAGAGCTTTTCATTTTACGTTCTAAAATCATCTCGTTATAGTTTAAACAAGAGGGAATTATCAATAGCCACAGCACTGGAAATTCTTTTAGGCAGGGCTGGAGTAAATCAATCTATTAGACCTTTTTTGTCCTTTTTATTAGCTATATTACTGTGCGTGGGGCGCGCGTATACCCGATTCTTTTTTATTACTCATCAGGATCTCTTCCAGCCTACTGTCAAATTGAAATTCTTTTAGGCAGGATTAGAGTAAATTAATCTACGAGACCTTGGGCGTGGTCAAATACGTCAATCGAAAGGGTTTGACCTCCCGAGTCGATAACTGCAATTAGATCGGAAATCGGTGAAGACATGACGGAGCTATAAGATAAAAGTTGGTACTTGGGGGAAAAAAACAACAACTCAGAGCCGTTCTATGAGCCACTATGCCGCGGCTAAAAACTGTAAGTGACCTCTTTATTCAACAGTCTTTTCGAGTCTGTACAGTATAACTGTCCATTATTACAATTTTTCATTAGAATTTGATTTAACATTTACCTATGTTCTGATGTAATGATGGAATAACCCCCCCCCCCCCGTATCAGTAAAGTTGCTGTTAAATAAAAGTCAAGATACATGGTCTTGGAGTTCAATTTTAGTTGAACGATATGTATCGTGATCTCTTGATGAAATATTATTTTCGAAATATCCTCAATTTTCATTTTACCCAAGCTGACATGCAAATTCGCTTAAAGGCCTGCTGCTATCGAAATGAAGGTCTTTGTACAGAAAAATAAATTAGTCAAGCTTGTAAAGAGGAACCTCTTGAAAATTCTATCTAGAAACGATGAACTCATTTATCATTTAAGTGCAAATCTCCGAAAGGAGATAAACGGCTGTTGAAACGAATCACTAACAATTAATGTTCAGCATGTTTAAATATACTTAATAATGTTTATATTACTAGAGATGGTAGACAAGTATACTTAATAATGTTTATATTACTAGAGATGGTACACAAGTATACTTAATAATGCTTATATTACTAGAGATAGTAGACAAGTATACTTAATAATGTTTATATTACTAGAGATGGTAGACAAGTATTTTTGATAATGTTTATATTACTGCAGATAGTAGACAAGTATACTTAATAATGTTTATATTACTGTAAATAGTAGATAAGTATACTTAATAATGTTTATTTGTTGTATTTTTTCTATTAGCTAAACTAAAATTTTGTAGTTTAAACAATGAATGGAACAAGGTGCTTGTTTTGTTGTTTAAACAATGAATGGAATAAGGTGCTTGTTTTGTTGTTTAAACAATGAATGGGATAAGGTGTTTGTTCTGTTGTTTAAACAATGAATGGAATAAGGTGTTTGTTTTGTTGTTTAAACAATGAATGGAATAAGGTACTTGTTTTGTTGTTTAAACAATGAATGGAATAAGGTGCTTGTTTTGTTGTTTAAACAATGAATGGGATAAGGTGCTTGTTTTGTTGTTTAAACAATGAATGGGATAAGGTGCTTGTTTTGTTGTTTAAACAATGAATGGAATAAGGTGCTTGTTCTATTGTTTAAACAATGAATGGAATAAGGTGCTTGTTCTGTTGTTTAAACAATGAATGGAATAAGGTGCTTGTTCTGTTGCTTAAACAATGAATCAAGAAGAATAAAACATTCAACTTTTCCAATAAAAAAATAACTCATATTGGATAACTCAAATCTGGATAACCTATATATGGGTAACTCAAATCTGGATAACCTATATATGGGTAACTCAAATCTGTATAACTCATATTTGGATAACTCCAATCTGGATAACTGATATATGGATAGCTCAAATCGGCATAACTGATATATGGATAGCTAAAATTTGTAAAACTCATATATGGATAATTCATACCTGGATTCTCACGATTCACATACAGAAATAATGGGTTTCTCTTTTGTATTTTTAACATCTCAAAATAAAACGAGAAAGGATGTAGGCCTAGCCTATCGATGACCAACCCTGTATACAAAACTATTATAAAATCATTTGAGGGAAGCACCAAACAGGTTATGGGTATTTTTATATAATTATTTTATGAATATTTTTATATAATTATTTTATGGGTATTTTTATATAATTATGTTATGGGTATTTTATATAATTATTTATAAATATTTTTATGTAATTATTTATAAATATTTT